CCACCTAAAGCAACACTTAGAGGCATCTCATGAATAAAAGACCTATTTTCCAGAAGAGGATAATAAGTTAGCTGCCAAAATACCAAAGACACAGAGAAGAAAAAGAAGAAAAAGAAGAAAAAGAAGAAAAAGAAGAAAAAGAAGAAAAAGAAGAAAAAGAAGAAAAAGAAGAAAAAGAAGTCAATCAGTGAAGCTGACAGGTCATCTGGTAAAGATCCAGCTCTCCAAGTCAACATGTTCTTTTCTAAGGAGGTGTTTTACTGCTCTTACAGTAGATGTTTATTTTGTCCTATTAAGACCAGCCTGCCTAACTGTAATTCCTACAGCTGGTCTGAATTTTCCATGAAGCTCTTTGTTTGCATATCAGAGCACATTGGGCATTTTCTCTGAATGAGGCAGTGGAATTAAGAGAACTGACACTTTGAGGCAACTTCTGCAGACCTGAAGGAGCCAGAAAAATGGTTGTGCCATTTGCACAAGTTAAGCCCAGGGGCACCATTCAGTATTGCTCAGAGAAAGTACACAGAATGTGTGACAGGAAAAGAAAACCCCTTATCATTGTCTGTGCTTCAGTATGGCACAACTGCAATAAGATTCCATTTGACAGCTTTTTATTCAGTGTTTCAGCCTGCACTCATTTTACTTCAAGATTTTTTGAATATATATTTTCAAGGCCAAATGACATCACTAAGGTGTACAACCTGAAAAATATAGGCCATGATTTGACTTCCAGTAGGTGGGTGGCCTATAAAGTTTTTTGATGATAGGTCAGACCCTGAATGTGCACAGAAGTCATCACACACTTACTAAAAATATGTATGCATGCATGCTGTGCAGAAGAAAAATCCCACATACGACTTTTTGTCTGCTATTGAGAAAGCTGTTGCAGACATGATCTTTCAGATCTTGTAATATGCTCAGTACCTCTGAAGATTGTAACATGGATTTCAAAGTCCACCTTTGAAAGTAGAAGACAGGAGGCAGAGGGCATAATCTATCTTTCAGCTGTTGTCTTCAGCATCTCAGCCCACTTTTGTTTTGGCATTTAGCTCTGACTTAGTGAAATTTGAAAAAAAACCAAAACAACAAAAAAACTCCACTGTCATTCTTTCATGGTAATTCAAAGTCAGGATCCTCAAACTCTACAATGCAGAGATTGCATGGATAAAGCAGGTCAACAGTAGACAAAGACGTCTGGCAATTTAAGTTAATGATATGTAGAAAAAAGAGAATGTGTTAAACACTGAACTTCATTTTGCACTGTGGGAAGTTAGGCTCCTCTTTCTTGGGATATTTAGAAGTAATAGAATAGTAAAGCACTTGACTTTACTATCAACAACACATGACTAATGTCTTTCTTGAATAATTTGAATTTTTGATCCTCTGCTATCTGAAAATGATTTTCTGAAATTAACTTTTATATGGGTGTCCAGAGGGTAATCTCACAACTGAAGAAGGCAGAAGCAGAGGCATAGTGCAGATCAATGTCTGGCTTCATGGCTGGTGCCATGAAGGCTTTGGCTTTTTTAGCAATGGATTGCACTTCACTGACTGTAGCCTGTTAGGGAGAGATGGGATCCACTTGTCTAAAAAGGGAGAGAAAATCACTGGCAGCAGACTGGCCAATTTGGTTAGATGAGCTTTACACTGAATGGCTTGTGGGGTCCAAAGTGGCAATGCTCCTGCCTTTGCTTTTTCCTGGAGAGTAGGCCATGCCAACCAGTGCTATCTTGGCCTCCTCTCAAGATGAGAATCATAGGGCTATCCACATCAAGGGTGTGTATTGCTGTGGGGAATCCTGTTACCTCTCTTCTAAGGAACCTGGATGCCAGATTACCTTCCTGATGTGTCTGTACACAAATGCAGACAGCATGGGGAATAAGCAAGATCTAGAAATCTCTGGGCATGTCCCAGTGTAGGGCCATTATATCATTATTGCATTTACAGAGATATGGTGGGATAGCTCATGTGACTGGAATGTTGCTTAGATGCCTGTGTACTTTTTAGAAAGGAGAGGTCAGCAAGATAAGGTAGTGGAGTTGTTCTTTGTGAGAGAGAGAAACTGGAATGTATTGAGTTCAACTCAGGGACATACAAACTATTTGAGAGCTTAAGAATAAGATTTAAGGGACAGGCTAAAATGGACGACACAAGTATTATCAGCAGCAAAATGAAGATTGGGAAAATGTGGAGGCACTGCTGAATCAGATGGGTGTCCTGGTGCTGGGAGACACACAGAAGGCAGAACTACTGAATGCCTTCATTGTCTCAGTCTTTACTGGTGAGGCCGGCCCTGAGGAGTCCCAGGCCTCAGAGGCAGAAGAAGAAGGCTACAGAAAGGAAACTTCACCCTGGTCACAGAGGGCTGGGTTAGAGATCAGCTAGAGAAACTTAACACCCATAAATCCATGGGTGTCGCTGTCGAGGCAGGACGGGAATGAAGAGACTCTGATCAGAAGGCTGCTGAGAGTAAAACTCCGGTTTTATTCAAAATACCCTGCTCTTTTATAGAGCTTCGTGAGGACCAACTCCATTGGTCCTGAAGTGAAAACAAGCCACACCATTGGTGCAAAGTGCTTGACGCACAGTGATAGAACTTGACTATAAACAATGTGAATAACAAGAAAGATAAAGAATTATTTACATTCTTTTCCAGCTCTTTCCCAGGCTTCTGCCTGGCTAGAAACTCTCCATTTCTCTCTTTGACAGAATCTGAGACCTACACATGGGCTCTGATGGGATCAGCACCATCAGGGAGCTGGCAGATGTTGATAAGCCAACCTCCATTATCAGTGCAAAAGCATGGAGAACAGGAGAGGAGCCTGATGGCTGGAGGAAAGTCAACATTACTGCCATCTCCAAAAAGGACAAGAAGGAGGACCTGGGAAGATACATCCTGTCAGCCTCACCTCCATACCTGAAAAGGGAATGGAACAGCCCATTCAGGAGATCATGCCCAGGCATGTAGAGGTCATAAGGTCATTGGGAGTAGTCTTAACTTAATATCTTAAAGGTGGATGTCAAGGGGATGGTGCCAGACTCTTTTCAGTGGTGCCTAGAGACAGGAGTAGAAGTAATGGCCATAAACTAAAACACAAGAAGTTCCACCTTCCACAAGAAGTTGAGGAACTTCTTTTACATTGAGTGTGGCAGAGCACTGGAACAGGCTGCCCAGGGATGTCATGGATTCTCCTCCTCTGGACGCACACAAAACTCACTTGGATGAGCTCTTTTGTAACCTGCTCCAGGTGATCCTGTCTTGTGCAGAGTTTGGGTTCAACTGGATGATATCCAGAGCTCTCACGATTCTGTGGTTCTGTGAACTGTTTTGACAATTCTATTCTACCAGAAAGACGTCAGTAGTTTTGAGGGAAAAAAAAAGAAGTACTGGATTTTCTAGTTAGATATACTTTTCAGTAAAAGAATAACAAGAATTTGATTTGTTTAGCTTACCATTTAGCAAAAAAAAAAAAAACCCAAAACAACAACAAAAAAAACCACAACAAAAAAACCAGAATGTAATTAAATAAAATATAGTTCAAGGTAATCTATTTTTTTTCACAAACTTTTGAGGGTTGCCCCTTCTCTTTCAGATATAAATTACTCAGGAGATACACCTCCAGAAGACTTCTGCAAATTGCTTTACTTTTAGACTTTTCAGGCACAGTAGTACATTGTTTCTAGTACTGGTCCCAAGAGATCATGCTAAGATCCTTGATTTTTCTGCAGGGCAACATATGTACATGTGCCCTTGTGTTTTTGTTAGTTCTTTGTTCAAATACATGGCTATTTATTTTTTAAGATCTAATAATACCTTTTTTATTAATATTGCAGATCCCACTTGGAAATCAATTCCCTAACTAATGGGATGTGATACATTGTGAACTTTTAAGAAAATTTTCTGGTTCTGGTCTAGAAAAATCTATTGTATGAGTTGTTTTGAAAAATAAATATATAATAACAAATCTATGTTCTCTCCCATGAAGAGATTAAAGTGCAGGTGTTACACTGATCAACTTTTAAACAGTGTTCAAAGATGGGAAGAAAACCTTGTATTTGGCATTATGTTTTGACATGTAGAAGGTTGCTTTTGTTAAGTTTATGGTCTTTGTTCAGGTAGAAATTTACATATCTATATCTATATCTATCTATCTATATGTATGTATATATATGCAAATAAATTATTTTGCTTTTTTCAGCACCTACAATTGCTACTCCACTAGTTTTTCCATACTGTTTTGATTCTGTTTTTTCAACTTCCACTTGCAAAAACTAAAATGAAGAAATGACATGCAGGCTGGGTTGAAAAAGTTGAGGCTCTTCAGCCTGCAAAAGAGAAGATTGTGTAGATGTCATAGCAGCCTTCCAGAATCTGAAGGAGGGCTACAGGGAAGCTGGAGAGGGTCTCTTCACTAGAAACTGCATTGATGTGACAAAGAAGAATGGCTTCAAACTGAAAGAGGGGAAATTTAGAAAGGAAATCCTTACAAATCATGAAATTATGAAAAAAAATACTCACTGCAAGAGTGCTGAGGCACTGGAACAGGCTGCCCAAAGAAGTTGTGGATGAACCCCTGTCAGTGTTCAAGGCAGGTTTGGAACATGGCTTCATGCAACCTGGCCTAATGGAAGATGTCTAGATCATCTTTAAGGCCACTTCCAAACAAAACAATTCTATGATTCTATCTAGACTGTGGAAACTCCAGCTGAGTTAATGACAACCATGGAATAATCAGGTTGGCTAACTTCTTTTAAAATGAAGAAAATACCGGCATCATCCATTTGGCTGTCAAAAATAGGTATTGAAAGAGCCTTCCTGAGTTTTCTGTCGCTCCGTCTCTGATTTCGGACACTCAGCTTAGCCTGCGTGCCGCTTTCCAGAAAATGAAGCGCCTGTGGTCAAGACAGGAAATCTGTGAGCGGGCAGAAGCGCTGGCGAAGGAAGGGCTCTGCCGGAGCCACTCGAGCGCAGGGGCACAGGCCGGTACACACACAGCGCAGGGCCGCCGGCGGGCAGCGATGGGCTGGGTGGGGCGGGGTGGGATCTTCTTGCGCCCGCCCTGCCCGCCTCCTGCCACCGCTGTTCTTGCCGCGGGCCAAGGGGGCCAAGGGAGGCGACGCGGCGTCTCTCGCCCTTCTGCTCGGGGGCTGCAGCCGGCGGCACGCTGAGGTGAGGCCGCCGGGCGGGGCGCGACGGTCGCCAGGCCGCGACCCTGCCGGCTGTGCCCCGCCGGGCCGGGCCGGGCTGGGCTGGGCTCGGCCGGCGGCGGTGGGGGACGAGCGGCAGCCCCGGCCCGGGGCGTGCGGGCGGCAGCCGGCCGTGAGGCCGTGGGGCGGCGAGGAGCGGCGAGGGGCGGCAGCCGGCCGCGGGGCGGTGAGGGGCGGCGAGGGGCGGCAGCCGGCCGTGAGGCCGTGGGGCGGCGAGGAGCGGCGAGGGGCGGCAGCCGGCCGCGGCGCGGTGAGGGGCGGCCCCGCGGGCTCCGTGCCGCGGGCACTTCCCGCTCGCTGCCGGCAGCGCTCGCAGAGGTACCGCGGCTTAGCTGGCGTGCTTGCCGGACGCTGACAGCGTTTTCTTCTTTCTTTAGTTAGCCTTCCCTCTTAAGGGTCTTGAGCCGGAAACATTTGAATAATCGCAGCGGAGGTAGAAGTAATAATATTAGAAATCAGTGCAGGTGTGAGATACCTCCTCCCGGCTACCTTTCCCGGGGAGGGCCGGACGAGGTGGCCTTCCGTGGTCTGTCGCGGCCGGGGCGGCACCTGAGGTTGTTGAGCCTCCTCCTCCCTCCCGAGCTAGCCCTGGCAGCCTGCTCCCTGCTGCTGCTCCCCGCGGCAGGGCTGCGGGGGCCTTACCGCTGCTCAGGGGTCTGACTGACGGCTTTTGAAAAGTTCCTGCCTCCAGAGGCCTTCCCGCCTCTGCCTGGAAAAGTGTTACCCCCACCTCTTCAGAAATTTTGGTTCCTATGTTGGGTGCACAGTGGGCATTGTGTTTATCACCTGCACGGGGAAAGTTTGCCTTATTTTACTCATTGATTCCCCTGTCAGCATGAAGATAGAAAGAGTTGGTCAGGCTTTTAGAAAATCTTGTTCTTGAATTGACTTTTTTTGAATGGCCTTCCATCTTACATCTTAAGAGCACTTTGCTTTTAGAGAACTTTTTATATAATTGAAATTTTTTTTCACTCCTCGTGGAAGGTCTGCATGTTTTGCAGTCAAACCATATGTGTAGTTCAGTAGTGGTAGGGAAATGGTAGCAATTTACTGAGTTTTTCATCACATATCTAAACATATTGTACTCTTTCGTAATCTTCATTTATGATAAGTGGGTGCCCTATTAATTGTGAACTTAAGCTAGTTCATGTTGTATGGGAAAAATACCAGCAACAAAATATATGCATAAAAATAAGCAAGTAGTTTGACTAACTCTTGAGGTAGTTCAGGTGTATAAGCTTGCTTGTTTAATTTTGTTTTCATACACATTATTTTCAGTGGTAATACTATTATCTGAAAGTACACCTAGGCAACATGTCCAGGTATTCTAGAACATTTTATCAAGTTATTTTTAGTTAGCCAGCTTCTGTCGGAATTCTGTTGGAATAGATAACTATTTTAAACCTTTAGCTTCTGTTTTGCCCCATACCTGTCTCGGGATTCTCTTTAATCAGATAAAGGGCATTAAGGGTATTTCGTTATTAGCTTCTTGTAAAGTAGTCATTTGAAAGATGAGAGACTTCTTGAGCTGAAATATGATTAGTGAACAAGTTGTAACAGTGACCGTATCCTTGGACAGATAGTGCATTTTCAGGATTTTCATAGTTTTCTGATCTGTTACTTCTATTTTAAAATGCGTTAGAAAAGGAAGACCTGACACCTGAATTGACTGTCAAATGGTTATTCCTGAGCAGGATAAGAGTGGAGTTGCTGAATGTGTTGTGGTAAAAATGCCCTTCCCTTCCTGTAAAAAGTGTAGCTTGATAATTTTGGTGAATAGTGACTCTGTGACATTCATCCAAAGTATAGAAATTTGAGTAGCAGCTGTTGCTGAATGTTTCAGAGTGTTTTTTTCTTTTATTTTTTTCCTGCAGTTTGTAGATCCCTGTGAAAGGCATGTAGGAAGTTTGTGGTCAGCAAGCTTGAGTTCAGTGCACAAACTTTAAATCTCCAATGGAAAAATGTTTGTTTGACTTTTTTTGACTTGCAAATTTGAAAGGAAAAACCACCCTCAGACCGTGTTGCTGCAGAGGATGATATGAAATCTGTATGCTCTGTTTTGAGACAGTGTACAGTTCCTTGAGCCCTGTGTACAGTCTGTGCAGGCAGAAAGCATAAAAGTTGCTGGTGGCTATAGCTGGTTCTCACCATGGGGCTGTGAATAGTGGTACTTGTAAGTAAGATCCTGCTGTCAGTAAGAACCAGCTGGATTTATCTTTCAAAGATAATCACTACTGTGTATTAACCATTTATAAAATGAAAACTGAAAGGTTTTGACTCCTTTTTTTCTGCACTCCATTTCCACCCACCCAAAAAATCTTTATTTTTGGAAGACCAGGCACAGAAATGTTTGCTCTCTGATTCACTATTTTAAGAATTACTTATTTTTCCAATTTCATTTAATTATTTTTTAAAATAAAACTCAAGTTCTAGTACCTTTTGGCATTTGATTTAGTTTGATTTAGTTTTATCTGGGTATACCTAACTAACTTGTCAATGGAGGTAGTTTTGATTAACTTGCTTGGTTAATACAATATGCTTTAATTCAAGCAATCAGACATAGGAATTGAATTACAGTATCTGAAAAAAAACCCAGTGATTTCCTTCAGAAGCTCACTGGGAGGTTGGAAAAGAATTTGCAATAGGTGGGGAGAGCACCACTGTGGTAGGGTCTCCCTTGACGGAGGAGGTCTCCCCATTCTGGTCCAGTCTGGCTGGGATGGGATTGTGTGACCTCCGTGCTGTGCATTAGCCCTTAGGTCCTTGTTGAGGCTTTTTATTTTTCCTTTTTATGTCTCTTATCTCTGGTTTATGCAGAGGTTTTAGTAAGGCTTTGTACTTTCTCAGAGTTGCAAGCACTCAGACCTCCAAGGAGCTGTGCCTTCACTTTTCAGTGGCTGCTTCAGCTGTGGTCTGTCTTTAGATGCTGCTCTGGCTTATACTGGCTTTGTACCATGCAGTGGCTGGGTGATGGAGGAGGTGGCTGGTAGGCAGGTATGCTGGCAAGGGATAAGGGAACATTTTTCCTACACTGTCTGCTGTGTGTCTATTGAATTTTTCACCTTTTCTAGTTATTTCTGCTCTTACAGAAGTACACAGAGCTGAATCCTGTGAGCAGAGAGACTTGACTTTCTTTCTGGGAGTCTGAAATGCACCATTTTGTTTTGTCTTTACACCTAGTGTATTGGTCATGAGGTTTGGTTGGCAACGTTGTTGCTTATCTGTAGTGGAAGATTGCTGGATACCAGATATCCTACTTCAGCTGAGTACAGTAAAAAGAAAGAATTGCTTACTATGGGAGGTAAAAGTATGCTGTATGTTAATTTGCTTGAGTATCTCAGAGTCTAAAACATCTTCTCAATGAAGCACCACTAGGCTGGAAATACAGAAGGATGAAATCTTCTATTCAGAAGCCAGGAATTTTACGAATATGCTTATTTTAATGTCTGCCATGGAGATGGTTGAATTTCATCTTCAGTAAAATTACTTCTTACCCATAAAATCAGAAACTTATTTTCAATCTAACTCAAATAACTGTGCCAGACCAGATATTTCCTAGAAAACAGCACGTGCAAACAGATTTTCATGTAAATGTACTTATTGAGCTGATTTGCTTATCTCTCCTCCAAAATGCATGAGTATGCATATCCATGGCAGCAAGTTAAACAGTTTTTGTTTTTTAAACTAATGAGAGAGGTAATATCAATATTGCAACTCAGGTAAAGTTTTGGGTCTGCAGTACATGAATGGAAGATCCTTCTGTGTCTTTCATGCCTTTCCTCTTCCTTTTGCTTTTCCTTCTGTTCAGTATAAAAATATATTGCTAATTATATGAATGATTTAAGGGTAAACATCTATCTTGACTGCAGAGAGGGAATTTTGCAGAGAATGCATGTGGACACTTGAGGTATAGGTGAGCTGTTGAAGGACTTAAGTGCTGGACATACAGTAGAATTTGTATTTCTGGTACCTGCGAAGTGTTGGCATCACATTCTTCCCCTGTGTTTACAGTGTATGTTCACATGTAAGTCCTTTGAGTTGCTACCATTTATTAATTTTTAAAACATTGCCACCTGTGCATTGCAACAGTAGGGAAGAGGTTGCTTTGGTCAAAAGCATGTTCCTTGAGAGCTTGTAAAATACATTACTAGTAAAGGTACCCATTTGAGATTTAACTAGTGTCTTGTGATGCGTGTATATTTGCTGTCTACCTGGCCTTCTGTGCTTATTTTTGCTGTCTTTTGTCTGCAGGAGTGCAGAAAGAAAAAAAGTTAATCTCAGTTTACAAGGGAGCAATCTTCTACAAACTGCAGCCAAGATTCCCTGGAGTTTGAGGATTCATGAAGCTAGGTGCCATTAGGCTTATTAAGACCAGATTTCACCACATCATAAAATCAGTGTAGCCTATTTCAAAGAGAGTTGCAACTATCCTTTGCGCTGCCTATCTTTTAAGATGGTCTGTTTCACAGAAATAACACAAATCTCAATAACAACTGGTAGTATTCCTGGTACTGCTAATTCATTATTTATTTTTTTGTAGGAGAAGATAAAGCAGCTGAGGATCAAAATGGAGAACACCTAATGCAATGTAGCATTGAAATCAATTAAGTGTCTGCTCATGTTTGTATTAATTGTTATTTTTAGATTCTCCTTTAAATAATTTGTCTCAGTCTTATTTACATATTTATTTACAAGCCTGGGAACAAGAAGTTAGAATAGTGGTATCAGATGGAATAAGTTGAAACTGTCCAATTTTAGAAAGCAAAGTGTAAATTAGTCCTCAAACAGCAAGACTAAATTAATTTTCTTAGTAAATTCATTAAAAAGCAATCTATTCTCTAGCCCAGTGTTGTCTGTGTAGATTTTTGGGTAGATGTATGGTAAAAGGATGGCTGGTTTGGTTTATTGCAAATTTTCATTATATTGTTAGGAGAATTCAAGACATCCCCCTCAAGAGCATGAAGCTTTATGTACAAGCTAATAGTGTGCGATGACCTTTCCGTGTCTTTTCTTTCAGATGGAAATATCTGGACAGGTCAACACTAATAATTTACCTTCCTTGCGGGGTGTAAACCTGTCAGCTCACAGCTGTTGTATTACTGCAAAGAAAGTTTCATCATGTGTATAAAATAGCTGTAGTTGGGGATGCAGTATAATGTGCCCTTTTTAATTTGCAGGTTTCCATACTCGCTGTGGTTCTCCGGATTTGTTCTTTTCTTGAAATGATAGGACTAGGAAACAGCTGTCGTGGGATAAAGTCTCCACCACTCCTCATGGCTGCACTTACGGCATGCATAATTGTTTTGGGTTTCAATTACTGGGTTGCAAGTTCTCGCAGCATGGATCTGCAGGTAATGTTCCTTTTGCTCTGCATGTCACTTTGTACTTGTGCAATTAGTAAACATAGTTCACAAGAAGGATGATTCTTCCTCATGTGGCAAGTCAGGAATTTCAGCTTGTTGTCGGAACTTCCACAGATTTTACAGTCGTTACTTATCAGTAGTGGGGGAATAGGATGAATGCCTATTTGTACATGAGAGGAACCCAAAACTTGAACGCACCTGCATGTGTGACACTTGTTACTTCTGCTCTCACCAAGTGTTCAGGTATCTTGTGCTGTTTCATATTAAAGATGTGACAAATGCCATCTTCTGTTTTTTGTCTCCTCTCAACCTCCCAAATACCACCAACTTCCTTGCCATCATGGCAGTACTCAAAGCAGAAAAGGCCTTGGCTTTTGCAAGCCCTACTCAGCAATAACAAAATCATCTTTGTTACCAACCCTGTGTTCATCACAAATCCAAAACAGTGCTCCATATCAGTAACTGTGAAGAAAATTAATTCTATCCCAGTCAAAACTAGCAGACTAATATTCCTAGATTTGTCTTTGTACATGACCTATAACATTGTATGCATAAGATACAAAGAAATCTGGGTTGTTCAGAAACAAAATCTGAATTTGTGTTTCTTAGTGACCTTTCTGAAGAAGGACATGCAAATCACATGTTATAATTACCTTATCTGATGATAATGATATTTTTCTGATGATAATTATATTTTTGTGGCCGTTGAGCTTGGATTTTAATCCTTTCTGTACCATTTGTTCTAATGTAGGGTATGTGAGTCAAGTTTCTGGTTTGTGACAATCTCTGCAGGACAGTTCTTTTTTTTTTTACTCTTTTTTCTTTTTTTAAATTTTCTTTTGTTATTCTTTTAACAAACTGACCTAGAAACTAACATGTTGATTAAACGTGGCTCATGAGAGCTCCTTCCCAGTTTATCTAGTGAATTTGCATGCTCTTCGTAACTGAGCCAAATTTTCGTACTGAGTGGACAGCTGGAGGAGTGGAATTCCTGTTTTCCCCCAGAACAGGCACTGTTCACACAGGGCACTTTTGTCTGGCTGTGCAGTAAAGCATATGTCTTATGACCTCTGAGACCCTGGTCATCCCTTGCTTTCCCTTCAGTCAGTGGCTTTAGCATGGTGGCTACCAGTGTGTAGTAACTGTCAGTACTGCTGAAGTGTTGCTGCACAGCCATGAAGCAGCTGATAGTGAGAAAAATATGCCACCATCCCAGTTTTTCTTGGTCTCAGTAACCTAGAGACACAAGGTCCTATGCCATCTTATACATTTCTCCTAAAGTTAGCCAGAAAATTACTTCACTTTGGCATGGTCACACACTCTGAATGGATTAAAAGCATAGCTGAACATGGATGGAGCTTCTAAAGCGCTCTGTAGACCCATTTGTTTGTTGGCAAGACTTTGCAGCTGTTATAACTGAAATGGAAGGAGTGTTTTTCCTTGCTATTCCAGCTAAACTGCAAGTAATTTTCCTGGTTTTTTTTCCCTCTGGCTCCTCTGCCTTTTCTTTCTTTCTGTGGTAGAGAGGCAGGGTAGGTGGGACATGGCATGCTACCTACTGTGGTGTAAGAAGATTGGGTACATTTTCTTGGAGTCTTGGAAAATGCACAGTTTTTATTATATCTAATTTTTAGTCCAGCTGGAATCACCAGATCTTTTTTCATGTGGGTAGATTCTATTGATATCCCCAGCCCCCTGCATGTTTTTGTATTCCTAGTTGCTGCTGAAGAACAATTTTAATCCAAAATGTTTAGAAACAATGTCCTGCAAAACTAAATTGGTACTTACAAAAATGAAGTGGGGATGGAGGAGAAAAGAATGTGGAGGAGAAAAAAATGTGGAAGCATCAGGCTTGATTCCTTAGCTTATGTCTCTGTCTATGTATGTACAGGATGATGGTGTTGAATTTTCTTCTGACTGTAGCTGCTCTTTGAACAGTCAAGAGGAATGATGATTTTCTGTTTATGAATGAATTTTTCTCATGTATGTCTTTGTATAATAGCCATATGTGAATTGTTCATGTAAAAGTTGGGCAGTGTTGTCCTCCCTCTGTCTTTTCTAGCTCTTCCAGGAAGAGGATTGATTTGAGAGCTGAATTTTCACACTGAGTTAGTTTGGGGTCAACACTGAGAAGCATAGAGCCATCAGAATGGTTGGGCTAAATTGAAAAAATTGTTTGTCCTTGTATTTCAGAAAGATGGTAGTCTCTAATCTTTTTTATGTTCATGTTTTGGGGTTCTTTTTAAGCTCGAGTACTGAGCTTTCCATTTTTCTCATCTTTAACAGAAATTTTACAGTCTCTTCTGCATACTCCGGTTAATTTACGTAAAACTAGAGAGGTGTGTGTATGTAGGTATGACTAGTATCCCTGGCTGATACAGGACTTTCATGATATCCGCATTGTTAGCGCTGTAAAATTTACTATTCCTTGAATATACTGGACAAGAGTCTGGCAAGGGGGAAGCATCTCTGCTTGGTTTGGCTAATCTGCTCTTTCTCAGGGTCGAGTCATGGATCTGGAAGTCAAAGTCCGCAGGGCAGCAGCAGAGAGGGGTGCTGTGGAGCAAAAAAAGAATGAATTCCAAGGGGAGCTAGAGAAGCAGCAACAGCAGATTGACAAAATCCAGTCCTTGCACAACTTCCAGATGGAAAATGCCAACAGAGTACATCAGGAAGAGAAGGTAGGGCTTTTCTGAGCTGTGGTTTTCTGTGAGACTACGGTTTACAAAGACACACTCTGCATTGGGAAGTGATAATCACATGTTGCAGCTTACAGTCAATGCTGGTGTGGCAAGACATTTTATATTGTGTAATATTGAGTAAATGGACCTTGAATGGACATTTTAGCACTTGTTTTATAATTTTGAAATACTAGAAGCTGCAAGTTGCAAGTTTATTCAGAACTTCTGAATAAAAACTGTTATCCTCTCTATAAATCATTACTGTACTTGGATTGTACCTTCACTTTTTTCCTGTATACTAATGTTTTAATAATTAAGAAAAAGAAGAAGATGCACCAAGAGTGATATTTGTAAGCATAAGTGGTTGACGTTTATTTCTAAATGCATTACAAATTTTATGGCATCTTGGGTTTCTGCCTCCAAAATTCAATGGTATTGGGAAGATACGAGAATCTGAGACTTCCATGGCAGTGCTCCTGACAGTTCAACTTCACCAGGGGGATGGTATTCCTTTGTGAAGAATGTGAACAAAGCTACTTAAAATAGCAGTGTGTATGATTTCTGCTGTGTAATATTTTGCAAAATGGTTTGCTGTGTATTTTTCTTGTGTTGCTGATACTGCTTTGATTACAGTTGTTAGTAATATCACTTTTCTCCCTATAGCAGAAGCATTTAGTTGAGACTATTCAAATGCTTCTCCCATAGTCTCTTTACTGAAGTTTATAAATCAGCGTTCCAGGACTATTACATTCAACAGTGTGAACAGTCACATCTTGTGATGGTAATATGTACTCTTCAGGTAGCAGGTTCACTGTGCGGGAATGGTTTGCTCCTCAAAATGTGTTGCCTGAGAAAAATATCACCAGATTAATCTTTGAAGAACTTAGAGGAGCAAGAATTGAGTAAAAATGGAAGGTAGTATGTGCACATCAGTGTCATATATCATTAGTTTATTTTGAAATAATCTTTACCCCTGGTCTTCAGGGAAATAGTAAATCAATTCTTTTTACCTCTTTTGAGACAAACATGTATCCTTGATAATTTCTCTCTTTTCTTTGTGTTCATTCTTTGCATATACTTTAAAAAATATGAGGTATGGTTTGTCTTGTTTATTTTTCTAGTGTGTGCATTTTTTAAAAAGATATCTCAGAATATTCTGATAGGATTCAAGTGAGTAATCAATCTTGTCACTTCTGCCTTCTGTTATTGGATGTTGCTACTGAATGCTGTTGCATTTTCTTGCTTTTTGCTTCAGTCCTACAGGGAGTGAAAATACATACATGAGCAGAAAAAATAAAATTCAAAGGTAAGAAAAGGGCAAATGTAATGGAGTATTATGCTTCCTTTCTATAAATAAATATTGCCAGAGTTACTACAAGGCAGTGAAAGGGCTGGCCAGAGAGTTTTCAGCACAGGCTAGCAAGAGGGGCAGATGTTGAGAGATGGTGACAGGACCTCATCCAGGAGTTTGAAGGAAGTTTAATGAATTAAATATTGCTTCTTCCAAGCATGATGTGCCATCTTTTTGATTCAAATTTCTGGCATTAATTGAGTGGTAGGTGGCAGCACACAATGTACTTTCCTTGTGGTGTTTTTGAGTTCTAGTGGACATATAGGAACTGTTCATAAAATGTGGCATCCATGCCCAGAGAAGTAGTGGTAAGTATTTTACAGAACTAGAACTGTTGGACATGGGGTGGAGTATGGTGTCTGGGGAAGAGTCAGTGTGGCTTCTGGAAAAGAAAGTTGTTCTTCTGAAGTATCTTGGAATTTCTCCTGAAAGAGTTGGAGATAAAGATGAGGGAGACAAGTGAACACATTCAATACTCCTGGAGTTGAAGCAGCTTGTAGAGATATTATACAGCCATGTCGTAAGAGTGGTATTTTAAGGGTGAATGACAAGGCAAAAGTTACCAAGCAGCTTAGAAATACACTGGGTTAATTGTTGTACTGTGGGAGGATCACCAGTGGAGTTTTGAAGTGCTGCAAAAGATACAGAGAAGAGAGGAAAGGTCACCAAAGCTGTGCAGTAGTTTCTTTACAGGAATCCAGAGTGTGGTTTACAGGCTGGACAAGAGTCAGCAGAGGAGGGCCATCACAGTTTTCTCCAGGATTCCAAATGGTACAGAAAATGTTTGTGGCTGGGAGAGGGAAGGTGGGGTTGTCCTGCATTCACTGATGTACTTCAAATGACATCATCAAGTTGTAGTTCAGACTGAGCAGAAGGTAGTGCTCTTCAGGCAATAGGTGGTGAAGCTTCAAGTGCATGGCATCCATAATACCTAGTTACAGTGGGTCTATGTAGGTTAAGGAGCAACTGGATGACCTTGGGCAAACACCTAAGCCACTACCTAGGTGTTTTTCTGTTTCCATGAGTACCTCAGACAGAAGAAGCAGCTGCGTGGAAAATACTGTGCTTTATGACTGCCTTCGAATTCATTTGGCATTTCAGTGTTAGAGGTGAGATGCTGGGAAAGGTGGCTTTTGAGGCCAATGAATTTGAAATTCCTGCCTCCTTAATGCTCTTTCCTCTGTCACCCTAAAATAGAGTTGTTCAGTTTGTTTCAAAGCTTGCTTTGAAATCATGGGAAGTGATACCCTAGGGAAGTGGTGCATTGGACTAATTTCCTGAATTCTGCATTCTGTGGCTGAAGAAGAGCATGTGTCTCACTCAGGAGCCTGAAGTTGTAGGGTGAGCATGTATGTGCCTGTGCATCATTTTGCATCAAATTCAAAATTTGCTTTTCTTGTGACACACAAGCAAATACCCTGCAGAGATGCTGTTTGTTTTCCAGCTCTAGTTTAAGAGTAGGGAGAGCTGTTTTGCTGGAAAGCCGTGTATTTGTCAAAAGAAGACATCAGCCAAGTTGGTATGGATTCATCCACTATAATTCAGGAATACCTCTGATGTGGTGGCAGGGAAGAGAAGGAAAGCTTAATTCTCTCACTAATGACCTTTATTGGAAGAAGCTGTCTGGGATCAGAGGTTATTTTACAGAGGGATGTGGAATATAAGGTATATCCATGTATAAATGTGTTTTGTATGTTCACGTCTTGTGTATACAAGTTATGAAGGTATATACAGGATATATACGTATATCCTTGTTTTTGGCTCCATGGATTGCAGTGGAATCTGGGATTCCTGGGATGGAGGCAAGTAATGAATTCACTCTTTCTGATTGTGGGGAGCTTGCTCCTTGAACTGAACTTAATTATTCTGTGAGGATTAGTGGCTAGTACTTACCTAGTTAGGAAGAATTAATGTAAATCCAAATCCTGAGACTCTCAACCTATTTTACAAGCATTTTACAAACTCTATAACTAAGTAGAGATCTTTGAGTCATAAGTAAGATTTTTCTTAGTTCTTGCTGTTCTTAAAGAAAAATTAAAATGCTTTCAGCAGTTGTGTAAGAATGATTGGTCCCTTTCAAGCATCCCACTTTTTGAGGAAGAAATTACGGTTCTTTTGGCTGTAGAAGAAACTTACATGTGATGCATACTTACACAGTCTGGACTTCTCACCAAGAGCAAGTCGCAAGTAATATTTGAGACCCATCATAATTGCAGTTAATCTCTGCTCACTGTCTCTTATTACTCTGCTGAAAAATACAGAATAATTACAGTACTGATTTACTTTCATACCAAACCAAAACACTAATATTTGCCCAGTTAAAATCATTGTCACTAGCAGTGCAGTAATCACTTTGAGTTAAATCTGCCTTCTTTGGTAGTAGAACTGTCTCTGTGCTACTTGAAGGATGAGGACACAGAACATCGGTAGTCTGAGCCTGTTATACTATGTGGGCTCACCATTTACTGAGGCAGTGTAGTTCTAAAAAATTACTGTTGTTATTATTTTGTTAGTTCTGAATATGTATAAAACACTACTGTCACTGGTCTACTTTTAAAAAACCTGCTTGAATTTTTAAAGATTAATGTAGATTTAGGAAATGGCTTCTGGAAGTCCATACAGAAGTAGAGTGATGAGATCAAGTAGTTTTACATGAACATTTGATAACAACAGTTCAGGAATGCAAAAAGGCTGTTTCTAATCTGTATATTCCATGTGGTTGTTATTCAGGACTCGTAGCTTCTGGGATGTCTCTTTGAAGAGTGTAACAGGAAAACAGTATTTTTAATATCTCTGAATTGCATGAGTATGATTTTGCAGTTGGTAATTTTCTTTGGATTTACATAAATCTTCTCCAACCCAAATCTTGTTTTACTGAGAAGGGCCAAGATTTGTACATTCTGTCTGAAGCATGGCACTGTCCTGTTGCTCAGTATCTTTTAACACTCTCTGGTCCCCTCCCTCTGGGAAAATTTCAATTTCCAGCACAGCCTTCTAACATGAAGTACCTGTGGATATGCAGGGAGCCAACTCCACTCAGAAGGAATTGCTGTAGTCTGTAGGAGAGAGTAGAAAGGTACTTTTTCTTTTCACTGAAGGCTATATATGTTTTGGATTTTGGTTTTTTGGGTTTTTTTTCAACCCAAACAGTGTTACATCTTCTAGTTTTGGAAAAGCTTTGAGGTAAGGAAGCACTGCCTCATGTCCCATATTTGCTGTAGCACAATATTACTATATTAGCAAGGGAAATCAGTGTACTTCCCCATATTCCTCATAACTGGTACAGCAGAAGTCTAGAAGATCACCTGTGTTCAGAATATGTCTTCACATGGTAGGAAGGAAAAAAAAAAGGATGGTCTGAGGCTAGCTGTACTAGAGAGAAGGAATATAGAGTATATGTAGTTTGAAGTTAACTACCTCTTCACAGCTAAATGAATGGACAAAAAGTCAGAAGGTGCATTAGATATACCTGTGGAAGTTTTATATTAATATTCTCATATCATATGATTTTGCTTTTCTTACACTGGGTTACTGAAGGTGATAATCCTGAAACAACCTGACTACATTGTCCACGCATTAGCTGTTTGGGTTTTAGTTAAACGTAAAGTGACGGAAAGTGAGTAAAGTGAAGTGAAAGTCCTGTCGTTTCACAGGGCTTTTTTTCTCCAGTCTACTTGCTGTTGCCTAGTACCTGTAAAAGTAATTTTGTGTTCATATGTGTCAAATACCACCCTCTTGTGCTTAAACTTTAAGAAACTGATTTGGCAATTTTGGTGGTTTTGAAGGCAGCGCTGCACCATGTGATGTGTCCTTGTGTCCTCTGTGACAAAACAGAATCTAGATTGCTTTGAGCACAGGCTGTGAAGCAAGATCTTTGGCAGAACCACTCTGTAGAAATAGGTGGGTTTTTTTTGGTTTGAGTTTTGTTGGGTGCATGGGTTGTTCATTTGTTTGGTTGGGTGGTTTTTGTTTGGGGTTCTTTTGTTGATTGGGTAGGGTTTTTTATGCTTATTGAGGAAAAGTGCAGTTTCAGAATGGAATTCCATTTATTGAGAAATAGATTTCAATGAATAATATCTCCTCCATTTTGAGCATGAAATTTGTTGTAAGGCTTACTTTCATAATGTGCCTCCACTGAAGTATACATGAGTGTGCAACACAATGATCAACCTTAAAGAGAAATATTTCCTTAAAAACCTTATTTATGACCTTTTCCCCTGCACACTATTATGTATTTTTGCTGTTAGTCTCTTGGCCTGGAACTAAAAAACCTTTTTGTGGCAAGTTCTCATGTTTAACACCAGCTGGCGTCTAAATATCATGCAGACTCTTAGTCACTTCCCACATCTTGTGCTAGATTTTTGAAGAAAATTCTGTGTTGAGATAAGAACACTTTGATAACTGAGATGAATAAAACCCAAGAGAAACAAGACGTACACAATCCAATTGCTCAGCACCTGCTGTCTGATGCCCAACTGTTGTGATGCACGAAATAGCTTATTTAGTTGTTGTTTTGCACTGGGTGATTGGGAATTTGGACTGAGTAGTTTTTATATTGCACCATGGAGTTTATATCACATTGGTCTATTCCACACACCTTTCCCCTCCCCCCTAAGCCTCAGGTGTGGTGGTCTCTCCCTGACCTGCTCTCCATCCCCCCTCTCCTCACCTGTGTCCCATTGGATGTGGCTTCCTGGTTCTGCCCCACCTCTTTTCCCTGAGCTCAAAACCCCCCTAGACTTCGGTCTCTTTTTTCCTTCCTGACGCCACCAAACACCTCAGCCTGTTACCCCCTGAGGCGTCTCCTGGATCCAAGGTGGCTCCTAATAATAAACAGGCTTTGAGTCCCAAAGAGAAGAAGAGAATTCCTACAATCCCCAGCAGCTATCGGTGCCTCATGGCCAGCTCCCCCACTTTATGTCCCAATGTTCTGTGGTAAGGCATGTCCCTTTGGCCAGTTTGGGATACCTGATAGAGCTTCCTTCAGGTTTCTTGTGCACCTGCTGGCTGGCAGGGCATAGAAAATGGGCAAATCCTTGCCTTAGTGTAAGCACTACCGAGCAGTAACTAAAACATCAGTGTGTTGCCAGCATTATTCTCATATTAATGCCAGAGTAGTGGTGGGGAGTTGTGGGAGCATGCAAGACAGAACCACTCTTTGTCTTTGCTGGAAGGACTTAAATCAGTTTGAATTAATAATGAAATGAGTACCCTGCTTTTCCCTGATTGATTATAAAATCTGTTTCCGCATGTATGAATCTTGCCTTCCCATCTTGCTTTAGTTACTGATCCTGTGGCTTCACTGTCTCCTTTGTGCTATATTTGTGTATGCAAAGCCCCTTTTTTCCTAAGTTTTAGTGTTTATGCTTATCAAACTATTTGCTTTCTTTCTTCTGTTTCAATTATGCTTTTATATACATGCTCATTATGCTTTTACATACACCACATACAGTGAGTGTTAGAAAGGATGTATGTCAGTTCAGTATGCTTGGGTTAGCTTGGTTCTTTATAGTAGCAAATGCTGGAGAAGTTATTGTAGTAATTCCTCCAAGGAATATGTGTATGGAGAATACTGTTTGGCGTTATTCAGATCAAATGCATTTACATAGTCCAAAGTATGTGCTCAAAACAAATACTTCAAATAATTTATCTCAAAGCTTCCTCATGCATTTCTCCATTCTGTTTTATTATTTTTAAACAGTATGTTTCATAAGTGGAATAATACTTATGTACTTTTGTACTGTGGTGAATAATAAACAAGTCTTTCGCTGCTATCATTAAAAAATTTGCTGAACAGCTGGAAAAATTTGTTTCCCACACTACTGGTGGAAATGTGACTTCTGAGTTTTGATGTCTGAAGCATTGTCTGTCCACAGCATTGTCTCCAATCAAAAGACTTGCTTTTTTCTTTTTGGTAGTTATAAGGACTTCTGTGCAAACATGTTTACAAATATGTTTGTATTGCAGATTTAATATATCACAGAATATCAGATTTTGATATGGTGACAGGGTGATTTTAAAAGTTGGATTTTTTTGCTCCTGGGGATTAAAGCTATTGTTTAGTGGGCTAAATGAAGTTTAAAATGTGAATTTCTTTCTACAACTGAGTATTGGCATGTGTCTTTTGAGTACTTCCCAGCAGTTTTCATTCTTGATCTGCATAAAACCCCAAAAGTAATGTTTGCTTAATTTACAGCCACAAGGTGAAAATTAGTTAACGCTTGAATTATAGGAGGAAGAATGGAAGACTTGATGTTATTGACTTGGTCAGATTGGAAGCTGGCAGTTGCAGTACTGTGCTGTAAATTATTAAACAGTAGTTCCTGCTCAAGTTAAACAGCTAACTAGGATTTAACAGGCTTTTGCCTGGACTGTTGCCCACACATTCAAGGAGATAGGCGTGGCATTGCCAAAATAAAGTTTTGTATGCCAGTCATAAAGACCAAGGCAGATTTCTTTTTTTTTTCCTGCTGTGATTCAAAGAGACTTTTTTTAATGTGGAAAGTAATTTTTTTTACTTCAGCTAATCACAATTATTATTGTCCTAATGTACAAAACATGTAACGCTTTTATATTTTACTGTCACATAAATGACATCTGGCATTTAGGTATCTCAGGACATTCCCACCCCATTCATTCCCACTCCTCTCCCCCTTCCCTCCCAGTAAATAGAACCAAAACCAACAAAGCCCCACAAAAAACTGTAATAACATGCAAATATAAATTGCTCTATCATACTGATTTTTCTAATCCACTGACAGTTTCTGGTAATGGCCAATGCTGTGTTATCCTGAAGGTGACAATCCTGAAACAACCTGACTACATTGTCCACACGTTAGTCAAACTTGGAGTTTCCAGTAAAACATTAATTTCCTTTCCCCAATAAATCAATGAAAACAAATTAATTTCTTATTTACCTATTCTATGAGAAAGGGGAGGGAGAGATGTTAAACAATCCTACATATAAGTTGTTACTGTTTTTCGAGTTTCTTTTTACTTGAGCATGATGGGTTTTTTTCTCGAGGTTTCACTGTGGTGTTCAGAAAACAGCTGTACATATAGAATGGTGTAGAAAGACTTAGCAACAGCTGAAAGACCACTTCTGTGAAGTATGACTCTTTTAAATGGTCATTCAAAGACAAATTACTACTCCGCTGGGTGCTATTCTGCTCAGATTTATTGAACACTACACTCACATAATCAGCTGGCTTTTATTACTGTAGTCTTGGGAACAACAACAACAATGCTGTCAGTGTTTCAGGGTGACTTGGGCAGACAGAGTGGATGCTGTTTCTTTTTTGGGTGTGGACATACACACACATCAGTACTAGAACAGAAACTTTGGGAAACAGGGGAGTTGATTTTCTGGGACCCTTGAAGAACCCTGAAGTTTCCCAGGACAAGGATGATAAGGGAACTGACAATGAAGCCTGAGAAATAGCTTCCTAAGACTGGACTGGATAATTTCTGAAGAGTCAGTAGATGTCTTTTTTGTATTCTTAAGAACTTTTCTGCATCAGACTTGCTAAATTTATGTCAGGAGTTATCCTGACATCTGTCTCAAAAGAATAATTTTACTTAGTTGTGACTTGATGCAGTTTTCAGGAGTTTTGGGGAATGTGTGTATATGAAATGGTAGATGGAGATTGATTAAAGAATCGATAAAATGTGTTACATTCTTCTTTGTTCTTATGGGATAACAAAAGAGTGGAAGAAGGGCACTCCAACATGAAAGCAATCAAGAAGGTAGGTAGAAAAGGGATACAATGCAAGGGTTTCACATTGCTTTCATGGAGTTGCTTTACACTGAATGATTAATGCTTCCGTAGCTCATCTTTGCATGCCTGAATGCAGGTGCATTGATTCCTGAGTGAGAAAGTAGTTGATAGTGAGCTGTGATGTTGTATTCTTCCTTCAAGAGATAAATACAGTAAGTCTTACTGTGACTCCAGTTGTGAGATGCAGTTAGAATAAAGTGACAACCAGTTTTAGTATCTATCAATTCCTTTAAATTCTTCATATTTTCATTTTTGCAGTGATATCTTTCCCCACTCTCCTATACTGGAAAATCTGGGTTAAAATGAGTATTTGTTGTTTTCAATAGGAGATCTCTAAAGCAGCTAAAAGGTGTTGTTCAACTGTGACACTGTCACAACTGTGACGCACAAAAAGTAGATCTTGTTACAAGTGCTTTGATAAGTGTTGTTTATAATGGTAATGCAGGTCCTTTGCAATTAAAACACTTTTGTTATGCTTCTTTCAGGCAATGCTGATGAGTAACATCACTGTAAATGATCGATTGATTCAGAGTTTGCGAGGTATGTTGTGGTACCTCTGTGACTCTCTCGTATTGATTTTTAGGCCTGTGTTTTTATGACTTTAATTTTTCTGCCGCCTTTTGAGAATGCTGCCTTTCTTCAAGTCAGCAGGTACATGAGCTGCCATGACTTAGATACCTCATCTGCACAGCTCCAGTTAAGGACTAATCTGCCTCAATAGTAGGAGGATTTGTCCATGTTGTGCTTATGTAGTACTCTTGGTATAATATGAATAGAACTAAGTTAATACATTTTTTCTTCATTTTACCTGGCAACATACTCTTGCATTCTTCCCTGAGGTGTGGGGTTATGCATTTTAGCACCAGAGTAGTTCACAAATCCTATATTAAATAAAAAAAGTCAGTCCAATTAATTACTATTTATTTATGTGTTAGTGTTTCAAAATTGTTAGCAATGTATTCTGGAGATACTTGGGAATGAATCCTATAAAGAAGTAAGTATGTCGTGGTATTGTCTTCTGGTGCCCTCTCACAGAGGTTTCTCTCAGAAATAAAATTAAATCATAAATGCCTCTGTTGCTAAGGAACATGGGTATAAATTGCATATTATTCAGGGAAGTGTTCCAAGCTTGTCTGTATATGACTGATAAATGTGAATGCTATTTCACATTGTGTTCTGATTGTGATTTCACAGACATAAAGATTTTCCAGACTGCAACCTAGCAGGGTTTGCAAATCAGTTCTGTGTATTCTATAGGAGGAAAAGTAGGTAAAAATGTGTATTGTACTGTTTTGCCAATATATTGTGCTGAGGGGTTATTCTTACCAGATCCCATGCACCCTTGTTGAATAAATTCAACAATTATATATGCATTTGTGTCTGAAATGCAGTTTGCATGACAGATGAATTAATTTAGCATTGTTGTTATAAATTTGTTTCTTGATGTTTCTGGTTTAGAATCTGTACATATATCTGTATTTTAATCCTGCTTTGACCAGAACACTTGAAAGAGTTACAGACGGAGTATGGAAAGCTACAGCTGGATGTTTACTGGTTTCAGAAGAACCAGACTAACCTTCAGAGGAAGTTCTCATATGATCTGTAAGTATGTTCTTTAGGAAAGATGATTTCCCAAATTATAGGTGACTTGGTTATAACCCTTGTGTTAGCTCTGTTAGTAAATACACATTTTTAAAGAGAAGGTAACATCTGACTCACCTAAAATTGCTCACAGTTGATCTTGGAAAGGAGCATTAACTTCCAGTGTTTTTTAGCTCCATGCCCAGACACTTCTTGATGTTCCTTCTATTGCAAGAGGATAAAGGTAGCAATATTATCACATAAGAATTGTATGGGGAAAATTGAAACATGAAGAGGTTAAACTGTGAAGAACTTTGAATTAAGATAGGGGAATACCTGATGAGAAGCTGTACCTTATTGAGCTGACAGAGGTCTTGGGAATTTCTTATGCCATCAGACTCATGTGTTCTGCTTTGCATGACATACCTAGTCATGGCTTTTTCTTGAGATTTCCCACTGAATTTTAAAGCATGGATAACTGAACAAAAGTACTTACAGTACTTTCAGTATCCTTACACTAAATACACATTTCTGGTATTTCTACTAATTTCTTCCCATTTCTTTCTGCTCAGTAATATTCTTGTTTCTTCTACCTCCCTTCACAATCTGTAGTATCTTCCCCTTGTGCATAGGTATAAAAAAGCAATAGAATTTTCTGTTTGCATGTTCTCATAATTATGTTCCATCAAGAATGTAATTATTGTAGTGATAGGTATTCTTTCAGCAGCCTTTTTTTTCCCCACTGTAGAATTAAAGATTAATGTTAGTGATACTTCCTGATTACCAGTTCGTTCTGACTTTTTGTTTTTGTTTATTACTCATGTAATAAAGATGACCTAGATGGATTATATTATTGGAGAATTTAAGATTTCTAATAGAAAAGTAGAAGGAAGTTGGAAACTTTAGTTTGTACCTGCCTTTCAATAAAAGAGTTTCTTATGTGTGTGTTAAGTGGCCTTTCCCCCGTCTGTGTTTGTAGTGTACCATGGTTGTTAAGCAGTCGTTGGCTGTTTAGTTAAATGACAGACCAGAGACTCTGTTGATAGTTCTGCGCTAGTCAGTGAATCTGTTTTCCAGTGTCTTCTTTTAAGTGTGAGATCAGCAGGAACAAATAGATCTGTATATAGCACAAATATATCTATCTACTGGACAGTAATGCTCCACATGAGAGGTGTACCTGTTAAGCAGTGGTTTGATATACACATGCAGGGAAGTGATACATGGCAAATGTATTTAGTCTGGCTTAGGAAAACTTAGAGGTTTATCACCCATGTCTGGTGAAGTGTTTACAAGCGTGGTTCTGTTGAGGAAATCCCTGACAGAGCACCCATGCTTGTGGTACCATAAAGAATCCGTCTTTGTTTAACAGAGGAAGGTTGTATTCAGACAGCATAGCTCCAAGGTCTGGGCTGGCTCAAGGTGAAGAGCTAAGCATGACACAGTGGTAAAGATGGGTTTGCTTTTATAAGGGTAAGTGTAGAGATAGGTGTGGTAAATCAGCCACGTGGTAGTTGAACTGGGACTCAGCTGATCTCCTTGTGGTTGGTCTTGAGGCAGGTGCACTATTTCATGTGGAGCCTCCGTGGGAGTATGTAAAGGCAGTTATCTCAGCCAAGGAGCAATGCTGTCTTCATTAGCTTTGCTGCAAAATATTTAAAGATTCATTTTCTATTTCTAGACTCTTTTCCTAAGAGTACAAGTGAGGAAAACAAACTTGGACTTAAATTTTCAGAGATTAATTTATAGCTTTGGTACTGTGCAGTGTTCACACAGTTCTAGCAGGAACATGTATTTTTAAAACATTGCTTGTTGTGTACCTTTAGGGAGGATGTTGGAATGTTAAAATTTCTCTGCTAAACTAATCTACACAACTAACATTACATTGTGTTTAGGTAATTGCAGAAATGGATATTTGATGGTGCTTGGCTACATATGTTCCTCTTTGCTATATGCTCACTTAATACTATCACTTTAAATGCTTACAAACAGCCTTTCCCAATGTGATTGTGGGCTTAGAAAAATAAGAATTATTAGAAAGACTCCAAATGTTATTTTTAATCTGTCTTCCTTCCTCCCCTCCCAATTAGGAATAAATTACTGTGTTGCTGCTCTGTTCATCTGCCTTGCCAGGAAGGGGCATTAGACTTGATTATGTGCTTCTTCCTTTTACCTGGATTTGCATAGATGAAGGTTTTGCACCTTAGGTAGCAACTATACTATGCCCAGTGCAAAATAGACCATATTATTTGTATAAAATTAATTAAAATGTTATAAAAAGATGAAAAAGACAGTCAAATGTCTTTTTCAAATGGCACATTGTAAATCACTCTTTTTAGACATTCTTTTACTATTCTGTAGAAGACGGTGGTAAAAGCAGTTATGCATATGCAGTGCATAAGAACGAAGTCTGTGATCTTAGAAGAAAAAAAAAATCATTGTTGCTTCTTGTACCTGAGCCTTGAAGTTTCATCTTAGCATTGTTTTGGAATAAGCTTAATGTTTTCCATGCAGAAGTCAGCAGGAGCTATCTGGCCTCACTGATGTTGTGTGCAAAAGGAGTGCACATTCCTCAGCAGTTGACTTCACAATGTATCCTTGGTGTACACTGTGCCCAGTGCTGTCTGGTCATGGTTAGAGCTTCTTCAGCAAAGGCTCACTGGCACACCAACCCTTCTCTTCTGCAGCAGCCAGAGGGAAACAGAAGCCTCTGGACTCATTTTTTGAAATTGTTATTGAATACTTTCCAGTATTCGAATCCATTTTTTGTTCCTAAGAGCTTTGTTTGTTACATAACTGCGTCTTTAGAAATCTCACTATGTGTAAAAATCTGAAAATTATTGTGATATTTGCAGGTCTGACAAGTGCAATAGTAATCTCTTTTGGTAGGGTTGAAAGGAAGATGGTAGATGCTTCTGGAGAACAAAGGTACTCTGTTTCCCATGCTGAGAATATGCAAATCCAGCAGCCTGGAGAGGGAGAGGCTGCACATCTGTTCCTGTGCATGTAGAGCACATCTGTACATGGCTGAGTATGCAGAACACTGAACACATGAAGCATGAGCACACACAACATTCTCCTGAGAGTGAGTGTCTGCTAGTGCAAAACGTGTTCTGGCATTGGTCTAGATGGGCTGTCCCTCCTTATGAATTTGTAGTTTGGGCTTTTCTCCACCTTTGTGCCTCTGTGCTCCTTTAGGCTTTTGGAGATAATCATTGGATGGGCTGGTGGCTCCCTTGATGAGCCTTGGAGCAGTTGGGGAGGGTGTTATTTGCACTCCTTGGTGTGTGCACAAGTGAGCTCTGTGTCATGGAATTAAACTGTGTAGTGAAGGAGATAATGTGTCACAGAGACTGAATTTATGAACATTAGTTTTGCACATTTGAAATGTCATGGTGATGGAATGAGGTGGAGAAACTAAGGCTGTCCCTGTACTCTAGAAGTTGTTGTAAACATGAGTAGAGTATTCAAATCTCCTTGAAAAGAAGGGAATTCTGTTACAGATAATAAGCTTAAAATGGTGAGGGTTTGTCCTAGATGTTAAATGAACTTTATTTTCATGTGCATTATGGGATCAAAGTCTAAGCTTTCTCAAATGCTCTGTTTCTGACTTCAGGTTGTCTGTGTACTGCATCTTTTTCAAACTTGTAAACTGTTACACAATTAATACATCCTTTTATTTCTTAGAAAATAGTGAATGTGAGTATAACTCAAGCCTGTGCTGTTTTACTGTCTCTGATGTTCACCTGTTTAAAGCACGGCTTATTTTGGTGACTCTTCCATGTAGTAGCATTATCAAATCAGACTTTAGAATAATGTCTGGTCTACAAGAAAACATAATAAAGGTAATAAGTTAGTTAGCAGACAGATATGTCTGCTACTGTTCTTCCTTTATAGGTATGAACTACAGAAGAGATTTTTTACTTATGAAAGGCAGGACTGGAGAAGGGTGAAAGTGCAAAAAAAAATGAGTCACTTGTGGTGGTAGAGTGCACGTAGCCTGGAAACTCCTTTGGATTATGCAGTAGTTTATTTTCAGCTTGAGAAACTGTAGCATACCTGTCTGAAACAGCTGTTGTTACATGGAGGGTATTGACACTCAGAATAACACTTGGTCAGAGCCAGAATAAGGAGAAATTCAACCCCCTTCTTAGTCTTAGTGATGGGTATGAGAAACTTGCGGTATATTGTCTATGCAGTTGTACAGAGGTTGCTGGAAAAGATTTTGAATGCAGAAGGATGTGTTTACAAGGTCTGTAGCTGATTGTATATGTAAAAACTGGAAGTTACCTTTGAGTGGAAAAACAAAGGAGAGAGAGAGGAGAAAAGGTTTAAAAAAGCCCATCAAACTTCTTTGTTGCTAGACCAGTGTGGAAAAGAAAATGTGTTCCCCAGCCAGGAACCTGCTCTTCCTTGGGCGGGCTCTCCAGGGTACTGGGTACTGACAATGATAGTGATTTTTCACTGTGTTTTCCCCTAGTGTGAAAACACTTGTCATTGGCATCCACTCAAACTGTTCTTCTTCATAGTGTGGTCAGAGCATACTTGGAGTGATATGATGACTAGTTTCTAAGATATGTGTATTATGGGGTAATGCTCATCTTGGTTTGTTACTCACTCTGATATAAACTGAAAGATGTAAAATGACTTATGAAGAGAATGGCAGAGAAAAGATGATCTTGCCCTGACTGCACACTTACCTTGAGAAACAGATTGACAAAACTCCTGGGCTTTGCACAGGATCCCCAGCACATCCACAGAAGGGGAGAACGCTGCCCTGGCAGCTTTAGAAAAAACACTGCTGCAAACAGCAGACCTTACCTAGGAGTTAGGGAGCTGTGAGGAAAAGGCAGGCTGCACAGATGCAGATAGAATGCTGCTGTCACAAAGGCTGAGATCCTAATGGTGCTGTGTAACTATTAAAAGTATGTAAAAGATCTACAGTGCGTGTATCTTTAGGACATATTCCTTCTGGAACTTAAAGCATCTATTAGTGAACTCCATTTCTGTAATATATGTTTTGTTGCATCTTGCAGCACTGCATTTTGTTGAAATATTTAGGAAGTGCATTCCGTTTGCTAATGGTAGATTACATCTGTTTTCTATTTCAACTGGTACTTTTCTGTTTTCTGTCTAAAATCAAAATATGAATTTCTGAATCATACTAGAAATGCTTCAAGGATCAAAACTGATTTTAACTTATCTGCACTTAACACAATGACACAAAGACACAATGGAAAAATCACATAGCTTGTTAAGCTGGTCAGACAAAAGTAGTTTAAATTAATTTCTTCTAATAGAACTTGCCTGCACTATGAATTTGTCCTTAGGACTTAGGTCAGTGCCTCATTTTTTCCTAGTGACTTATCAAATATAAAACCAGGTAGTAGAATTAAGACAAGGATAAAATGTAAAGAAAAAAAATAGATATAATGAAGGAAAAGATATTAGATAATTTCACAAAACTACGTTATAGAAGAGTTTAGATGAGAGTTAATTGTCTTGTTCATGTTTTTTCCAGGTCACAGTGCATCAACCAGATGAAAGAATTAAAAGAACAATGCGAAGAAAGGATAGATGAGCTTAGAAAAAAGAGTAGTGATGTACCACAAATCAAAGAAAACAAAGACTTCACAGAAGATAGCCAGGTATGGTTTGGATAATTTCTTGAAAATACTTTTTTTGTAATTCTTAAGTGTTTCTTCACCTTTCTGCTATCTCCTATTAGCATTACCCTATCTAATTAAATTTTTCACTACTTAAGTATTTGTTGAATGTTTCTGATCTGTGGGAAATGGAGTGATTTCAAGGACAGAACAAGGAGATGTCCTGCAGGAGATTTCAAATCACTGTGTCTCTGAGATGCACCAAATTTGAGAGGTGATGCCACAAGTGGTGTGGGATCCATTGAGGAGTATTTACATGACTGAATTTTAACAAACTCAAAAGGTATTATTAATTTAAATACTTAGTTGCTTTTTATGTTAAGGATGAGGATAAGTTGTGAATCACTTCAGAGAAGCAGCAAACCCTGAATATTGTAGTCCAAGGTTCACCAGCTATGAATTTTCACAGAAGTCCTTTATGTCTGCATTTTACTATAGGAATGAAGGGATAAACAAATGTCTTAATAAAATGTCAGATATTCTGAGCCAAAGAATTACAAATTCATTGCTGAACCTATTGAACCTGCTCACTAGGGTGGGGCAGGCTTGGCAAATCTGTTGGCTGCATGTCAACTGGATTTTTCTCCTGGGGTGCAGAGGGTAGCAGAAAATCCAGAGAAAAGGTAATTTCAGTTCATCCTGTTGTCTTGGCATGTAATTTATTGATGCTTCTTCATTGATGCGGGATTTGGTCAGGAATGGGATTTGATTGTTTAAACTTGATATGAATGGCCCTGGAAAGAAGCAGTCAGGCTCTTGGGTGAGAAGGCACCCAGCTTATTTCTGTACCAAAATAGCCCTTTCTTCAGGATTACGGAGGAAACAGAGGTTTCAGAAAATAGATTTTTTACATGTGACTGCAGTGGGGCCTTTCCCTCTACCTGAGTGACAGTGGAGGTTTAGTGGAATGTACCGTTTTACAAAGGCAGTGGAGATGTAGTGGAATATACCCTTTTCTCTTTGGTTGGGAAAAGGCTAAATTTGATGGCTTCAGAAGTGGAAAGGGTAAGCCACTGAGGAATGAATCTTAGTTTTACCAAGAGGTGAAAAAGCATGTGAGAAAACAGCTAAAACAGTCCGTCCAGAGATTCCCATAGGTAATGGTTTCAGTCTGTGTCCAGTCCTTTATGTAAAGTAGGGGAGGCAGAACTACTAAAGTGTAGTACTGAAGTTACCTTTTATCCTGGGAACCTGCACTATGTGAGAGCTGCAACATGAATGAAGCTTTAGAAACAGGAAGTGCTCTCCAGTTATACCTTAAAATAAAAGTTATACCACTTGTCAATAGTTTTTATCAACAGTATCAAATAAGTAGATAAAAAGTAAATAATAAATACATCATTGTAAGTAAATAGAACCTGCATCATTTGGAGATGATAGGTTAGTTTGTCAAATATATCTTGTTTAAGAAAGTTGACCTAGGAAAGACCCTAATAAACAAGTGGTCAATTTAATTTTAGTGTGGCTTTGCAACAGGTTTTAATTACAGTTACTTGCACTAGATTCCTTTTCTTTGTTTATTTGTGTGTATGTGATTGTTTTTTGCATTTTTGGTTTTTTTTTACCATTTCCAGTTTGGAAGGTAAATTATCTAAGAAGGAACCTGAGGAGTTTGACTGAAGCCCTTCTGCAGGACAATTTCAGTCTCCTGCACAAAAGTGCATAGCTGGAGGCAATCTTCACTCAAAGCAGATTATCTGTAAGGCAGGCCAGGTTATCTCTTATGTTTTTATATATAAATGGGATGGTCTCAGAGGAGCTAATGGGTAATATAGCTACTGCCTAAATAATTTCTGTCTGTGTTCCCTAGTATCTGTATCAGTGTTTCTTTGGCCAAATTGTAACTTTCTCAGTTGTTTGCTTGCCCAAGAATTTCAGCCTTTTGCTTTTATAAAAGCACACTTAGTTAGTGCAAGATTACCCTGACAGATCTATGTATGTTTTTGTCCAGTGTTTTAAGCTGGAGTAATTCCTATTTTTAAGATCTATGTGCTTATGTAATAGAAAAGTCTGTCTTAAAACTGAAAGAAAATGAAGTGCTGGTTGGTTAATAACTAAACAGCTTTACTTAGGACTCTGTAATTTGGAGAATACTGTATACTTCTTGGCTGAAGAAAATCCAACATGTTAAATTACTATCTTTTTATCTAACCACTTAAATTTTTAAAAAATCAGCATATCCCCTTTGAATCTATTTGACATTAAGAATTACTTAGCTAGAAATTTAAGGTAAGTAAAAGGATTTCACATGTGTAATTAAGAGGTAACTTCTTGCTTTTAAGTCTAGGCTCAATATTTTTGCAGAAGAATTCGTGCCCAACAAAAAGTGAAAAATGGTCTTATGTTCAGTTTCTGATGATGTTCAGTTTCTTCTACTGTAGAGAGTAATCTTAAGGAGCTGAATTATTTATAGAACAGAACCATGTTTAAATACAGCATTTTTGTTTTATTGATTGAAGGAAGATTGAGTTCTTCTGAATGTCTTTATTGCAATAACCAAATATTCTGCAGTAACATTTGCTTATCAAGCATTTGTAAGAGTTAATGCTAGATTAGTTGGTGATACTGGGCTTCATGGTGCTGATATGAAAAGATGTTGTTCTGCCTGGCTTTGATGGAAATTAAATGCTTTTCAATACAGCCAAGTAGTCATGCTGCAACTCTGGCTTCTTGATGACTTAGCTACTTCTTTCTGCAGTCATTTTTCCAAAAGACTGAATGAACATTTGACAACATAGTATTTTACTGCCCTCCTTAGATAAATGGGAAGCTAGAGTCTTGACAGTACCAATGACAATTGGTAACAGATACCCAATCTACTGTTGCACTCTTCTGGTGCAACTTGGGGCCATTTCCCATTGTCCTGTCTCTTGTTACCTGGGAGAAGCTGACCCCCCACCTTAATATTACTACCTCCTTTGGGGTGGTTCTGCAGAGCAGTGATGGTAATGCAGTGAGTTGATGATGACTGGGAGAGCATTCTGGTTTCCAGGGACCATGGAAGTAAGCAGACATTTATTTGGAGCCATCAGCTTCTTTGTCCCATTGAAGTCCCTGATGCAGGGCTGCCAGGCAGGTAATCCCATATCTGAGCTTATTTTTTTGGGTTTTTTTCCCTTCTTTTTCCTCTCAAGTCTTTCTCTTTGATCATTCTCATAAATTCATCCACAAACAGCTCAGCTCTGCTCTTTCCCCACTGGCCCTGGCTTTGCACCCTCATTTAGTGTTTCTAAGATGACAGGGGGGAAAGAATAACTCCATCTATCAGGGCAAGCTGGGTCTTGGCTGCTCGAGCAATGACCATGAAGAGAAGAGCCTGAGTGCTACAAGGCATACCATATGAACCATAGCACCATGCTACGGGAAGCATGGCCACCTCATCCTTTCAAACCTCTTCTACCTCATCTCAACTCCAGAAACATGCTGTAGCTGGAGAATCACCATTCTCTACAGGCAGCTCCAGATTCCCCTCCCTAGAATATGGGTTTCTTAATTTCATCTGTGTGAAAGTCCCATGGTATATCCCTCATTTCACTGACCATCTTTAATTTTCACCTAGAATCAATGGTGAATCATAAGCTGAGTCCTGTGTCTTGCAAGAGGTATGGTACAAACCTGCACACCCAAATACTCAATTCATATAGTCTGGGAGTAATTTATGGAAAGGCGGTGACAGGGCATTCCTGAGCTCCCTGTTCCCCATGGTATAGATAAGGGGATTCACTGACAGGGACAGCACCAAGCACAGGACTGCCAGCCACTAGATAAAGAGATGGGAGGAGATGGAAGGGGGCCTCAGGTAGGCAAACATGCCAACTCTGATATACAGGGAGACCATGGCCATGTGAGGGAGCCAATGCCAATGTAAGTAAAAGTCATATATAAAATTTTAGTTGCCGAATTGGAAGATCTTCATGACAGATCTTAGGCTTAATATCTCAGTGGGTCACATGCTTATAGCAGTCTAGCACCAGAATTTAGTATATTCTTAAATAAGCTCTGTCATGTTAAACAGGTATTATTGTCTAGTAGGTTGATTTACGCTTTTCTTAATCCTGCATTTAATACACTTACAGACCAGTTCTATGCAAGCTTTACTCAGCTAAAATTTAATGATGACCAAATTCGGTTTACTTGACCTGTAGACTAGTAAATGGCATCTGTTTATTTGCTCTACTGATCCTGACACAGTAGCACAACAGTGGATAAATGTGTGGTGTTATTCTATGTGTGTTCTGTAACACTCTGAGAATAACCAAGGACCATAATCTCATCATTAGCTGCAGTTAAATAAGGTATGTTAAAAATCTCCTGATGTGCTATGCTGTTACACAGAAACATTACTACATATTCAGAATTGTACAGTACCATCTATCACCAATAAATGTTTAGTCCAAATATTTCTGAGTGTGTTGGGATTTTTCTTCCATGCAGAATTCTTACCTAAATTGTACTTCCTTTTCCAAATCCAGGTGCAGTTATATAGACCAGTGCTTATGTACTACATTCACTTTATAGGTTGATACTCTACTGCCAGCTTTGAAGCAAACAGGGTTGCAGCAGGCTGACTTGGAACAGCAGAAAACCAATCAAGATGTTCCTAAAGCAGTGCCTATAGTAAGAAAGACAGACCTGATGCAGCCTAAAGGTGAGATGGAAATGCTTATCTCACTAATAACTGGTTAAGAACAGTTGTTTTTTAACGGAACATTTAGAAACATTTTTGTACACCAGATAAGGATGAAAAAAGTGACACCAACAGTCTGAAAATCAATCAGGTTTCCTACTGAAGGAAAACTTGCTTGGATTTGTTGGTTCAGTTTTGTTGTAGTAGGTATGTTGCACACAAGAGAAAATAGAAATATTTACAATTTTGGAGTCATCTTCCTCATTTAATATGGAGAAAATACCCAACTTTTGGAAGGAATCATTTTCAAGCATACTTAAAATTTGCTTTCTTAGTAAATTTGATATATTCAACCCTTCCTCTGTGTGGAATAGCTGAAAGTTAGGCTTAGAACAAACGCACATCCATACTTCCCATGTGTTGTCATTGAGCAAAATACAAGTGAGGGAAATGATACACATGGGTTTAGGTAAGTTAGCCTAAGGGTTCTTTTCGGCACTAAACTTCAGAAACTATTAATTTGAATGGATTTATCCTTGTGTGTCTGTTTTGCACAGTGGTGTGTGTGATAGAAATTCTATTCTTAAATTTAATTACTCTTACATGCTATCTTAAATTAGAGTCTTGTAAGCATGCAACTCATTTTAGAGAGCTAGCAGTTGAAGACAGTGTCTACATATAGCTTAATTGAGAAAATTCAATTTTAAATTTAAATTAATTTTTAAATTTTTAAGTTATGTTTTAAATTAAAAATGAAGATATGGGAGGACAGATATATGTTAATACCAACTAAATATTATAGCACTCGTGCTCTTAAACAAGAATAGGCGTGGATACTTGCAAATCTGCCCATGTGATGCTTTGTCCTGGGCTGCTTTTGAACACCAAATCAATTTTGTTGTTCATTAAAAGATGTAACACACAGAAACCTGATGATTATATCGGACACCACAATTTTTATTTAAACTGCTCTGTTTCACTTGCCCAATTTATTAACCACACATACCAAAATTTTAAGGATATATAAGCATGAATCTGTTGACAGTAAATAAAATTCCCTTCTTTAGCTGTTTCTAGTAGGAAAAATACAAGTCGTCTTATTCTTATCTCTGGTACTGGGGTGATTGGAAGATATTCTTTCAGAGGAAAACCAATAATTTAGTGAAAAATATAAAGCATTATTTATTAAAAGCTTTTAACTTGTGCCACACTGGAAGGCATTATTTTTTAAACTCAGAATCATTTTTTTTGTTTTCAGAAAGAACAGACAACCTAACTGACATCAGAAAACAGAAGCCTAAGGCAGAAGAGGAGCAGCTTTCTAGTCAGTTGGAAAATCCTCAAGAGTCGCTCAAGGCTGCTGCAGGTCACAAGGAGCTGCAGCCTGTGTCAGAGAAGGAGCCAAATCCACCTGAGGATGAGAAACACGTAGCTGGGCAAGATACGTCAGAGCCAGCAGCAGAGCAGGCTGCCAGTGAGGAAATTGAGAGGGAACAGTTCCTGAATTACCATGATAAGCAGGATGACTTGCCCCCTGGAAAGGCTGGTTTGTAGCATGTCACGTATTGTTAAAAACAATAACAAAACGAAAAGTAAAGAAATGAAAGGGTGGAATAGGGCATGATTTCTAGAACAGTGGTAGAAGCTGGCCAGACCTAGTACACGTTTTTAAGGTCAGTGTGATGTGGAAGGTGTCAGTCCTAAGCAGTCACTACAATCCATGAGTTAAAGATGGAGGCTTCTGATTGTGCAACATGAAGCTGCAAGGCTGTGTTCCTCTGCATCACCATAACAGCCCTACTGTCTCTCCATTGGCTCCAAAGTGTTTAGGGAAATTCACCCCAAAACATTCTGTTATTGGGGCTTTAAAAGAATATGATGCATCTGAAAAGAATGAGATGTTAATCATCCAAAGCACTGATGAGTATGCATGCACTTACGCATGGATGTTTTGCAGTTAGTCTTTTTACAATATCAGTGTGTGAATACTAGCTATTCCTATTTCAAAATAAGCTGCCATGAGTAAAACTGGTAACTCAGACTTCAGGTATCTGAAGTTTACTGTTGTGAGTCTTGAAAAACATGGATCAAATGTTTAGATGGAAAACATGGTGGAAAACATGGATAGGTGCCATCAAGTGTCCCTGAGCTACACATCTCAACAGCACCAAGCAGCAGAGTATTGATGCTTTTGATTGACCAATGTCTAGATGATCCTCTGTCTTGAGGGATTTGGACTCAGTACCCAAAGTAATCAAAAGAAAGCCTTACGGCAGTCAGAGCAGGAAATGATGCTCAAAAAAATGATGTTTATACTTTTCTAGTAAACACAGCCTTAGAATTTTAAGTTTCAGTGTTAATATTGTTGCTAACTTGACAGAGATAAATAATCTCATCTGCATTGCTAAAGCAATATTTTTCTAACTGGTCCAAAAAGATGCTGGCCAGAGCAGGCTATACTCCAAAGGGATGTAATTACAAGTTATCTAAAGTGTTTTCAATTTAATGGAAGTAAACAGCAGAAAGATTGAGATTGAAAAAATCATCCAACAATTAGGGTAAGGAAAGATCTCTGCCATGCAGCTCATGAAATCTCAAAGGTCTGCATTTCTGTGAGCTAAAAAGGCTTGGGAGGATGTTCTTTAGGCTTTATTGTCCAACTTTACTGCACAGGTTCCTTGTAGCCAAAGGAGCTTAAGGTAGACAGACTTCTTCGGTAGTCTATGGGCATTCTCTTTCAAGAAGAACTGCTTCTGACATTAGACCTTTAGGTCCATAACTAAAAAAATCTATTGCATATGGTGGTCTGAACGTGAATGACATAAGGCTTAAAATTTTCAAGCCTCTTTCTTGGCCACTTGCAAACTAGAAGGCTTGTATTAAGAACATTTAGAACAGAGAATGTGATCCATCTTAAGTGAGGTTTGCTTACACCTCTCTGCTGTTACCTTTTTTTCTGGTTGATTATTTGAAAAATGATGATACTAGTTTGGCAATCAGAAATGTTTCCATTTATGTCTGAGTCCTCTATCTAAAGAAATCTTATAGTCAATAAATGTTGCTTGAGAGGAGTTAGTAACTGGGTAAAGAAAATCTTCTAGGAGAGAAGTACTTTTGTGACAACTTGGCACATCATAAAACACTTTACGCTAGAGGTATACCATTCCGGTTGCTGGACAAGCTAAAACAAGAAGGGGTTTTCAGCAATTACTTCAGGTTTTGCCCTCCTTAGGCTGTCCTTTAATGTATTCTGAAATTGTATAATGCTCTTTATGTTTATCAGAGTGCTAGCTGATTTTGCTGTGCTTTCCAAATCCCAAAAGATTGTCTTTTATCTAGTTCTTCTGACACGATTTACAGCCAAAGTTGCTCTAAAAAGTAACACTTCAAAGGAAAAATAGTACAAAACCTACTCAAAAAAGTAATTCATTCAGCAGCAACATAATTCTGTGGAAGATGTTTACAGTCACTCTTCTTGTGTGCAGATGGTATAGCATAAAATGACTTAATTTTAATCTTCTAGACAAGCAGGAACGCGAAGCAGTGAACCAGGACAAGGATGTCGATTACAATTTAGATGTGAATGAAGCTGAATCAGAAACTGACAAGCAAGCAGCACTTGCTGGGATTGAAAATGGTAAAAAAGAAAAAAAAGCCAGTTTTAACCTAAATATCACATGCTTAAAATGTTAAGATCATATTTTGTATGGTTCCTGCAACAAGCAATACCTAGCTGATTTCTGTTTGTTTTTTGAACTTTCCCTTATGTTTATAGTGTGACCTATTTTCTGTTTCGTTTTTTGAACTTTCCCTCATGTTTATAGTGTGACCTATTTTCTGTTTAGCACCACTGAACCTACTCCATAATGGGGGGTGTGGTATCTATAACTTTACTTGTACTACATAGTATTTAAGAATCCTTACAAAATTTCTTGTTGTTTTCTAGATAGAACTTTATATATTAAGAACTTCTGCCTCTTAAAAGAGATGTCTGTACCACTTCCTTTTTTCCCCCCTCATTAGTTCAAAACCATGAAGATATGAAGAACCACTTACCTGACAATGGTGAAGGACGACAGAAGTTGTGAACAAAGGAAGTTCATGATACAACTGAGTCACCTCTTCCTCCAAATGCAACAATGATCCAAGCAAAGTGATCTTAGAAGGTTTTGATTATCTTCTAAAGGCTTGACTAAGGGCACATATTAAGTAGCATTTTCTTGTGAAGTTTTAGTACTGTTGCAGTGAGGAAAAGAGGTAAATCTCTGGAGGCCTGTTTCAAAGCAGTTTGGCCTCTGCAATGACTTTCTCCTTCCTATCAATTACAAAATTGCAGTTAGGTAGCAATGAAGTTAGTAACTTTGAAGTTGGCTACCTTGTATATCATATTGCAGTAAGCACATGTCTGGATTAGTGGTAGTCCTCTGCCAAGGATGGATCTCTGCTGAGCAATGCATAGTAGAGAAATCCCCAGCTCAGTTTTAAGAATTTAAGAAGGGGTTGTGTTACTATAACAAAACGAAGGATGAAACCAGTCCATGCTGCAGTCTACCCTTGTGTCTGTTCTGGCACTTTTTTACTGCAGCACAGACTAAGAAAGCACAACTGTAGTCTCAGATACTATGCAGAATGATATATGTACCTGGGCCTCTAAATTAAACTCCTAGATTACATGGTTGAGATGTGTTCTTAGTTTCCAAGGTAAAAAAAAAAACCCACAAACCCAAAAAGGATTCTGACAATAGAAGCTACTTGCTAAGAGATTAGCCAGGAAGATTTTTCTGAAAGCTTTGTTGGATTCCACAAGGTCAGTACTACAGTGTGTTTTGGTTACCACTACCTGGCATAAGTTTAGTGTTAAAATTCAAATTCATAAAATTTTCGTGACAGCAGACCTCTGAAATGCTGTACTACAACTATCCTTTATGTCACCCAGCTCCTGTCTTTTGCAAAAACAGAGGAATGTAAATGTTTGCCTTGTACAACAGCAATCTCAGCTGTTCAATGTGACTAATCTTCTCTGCCACACTTCTGACAGAGTAACCAGACTATGCATTTAGAAGACAAGGAAGTGTCTTCTACAGGTGAAGCTTTAGTTGTTGTGAAGTGTGTGTTAATCACAATGTATCATCTTGCTAATGTTCTGCAGTCTTTCCCATAACTTGTTAAATGTAAACTAAAAACTATTTTACTTCCTGTGAGCTAGAAATACCCTCTGCTTACACAAAGGCACCTTACCTGCAGTCCAGTCACGATGTATAGCCAGCTGTTTTGAAGAAATTTTTATATTTGTGTCTCTGGTCCCAGGACCCAACACCCATGTTTGGAGCATTGTTTGTGAGTATGAACCAACCTCTGTTGAGACAACACAGCAGCCAGACAGCTGTGATTAACTTGCCAACCAGCATTCCACTTAAGAAAACACAAATTTGTCTTTGCTTTCTGTCAAAGCACTTCACTTTGTAACTCCTTTTCTGGTGTGTTGTTCTTCAGTGTACTACTTTAGAGCTCCTGTACGGTAAAATAAGGCTGGCTCTTTTGTGTATGAAAAGGGTATTCGTTTTCATCAAGTGAAGGTCAGAGTTTAAGTCAAAAGATGTCTATTAAACCTAAACACAGAAACAGTTCACTAAGAGTTTTTCACCATTTAAGTAAGAACTAACTGGTCTGGGCTACTACAGTCAACACAGCAGGGAAAACATGCTTGTAAACAGGAGGGAAGAGGAATGAGCATCTGTTCTGACAAGTACTGGGAAACTCAGGTTATTGGGACTTTTTTTGCAAATAATGACAAATGATGTTTCAACATCAAAGTGTTTACCTATAATTTGGATAAAAATACTAAAAATACTTATCCATAATTTGGATAAAAATGCCCATCTTCTAAGCATTTTCCTAGGACTTAATCAGTAAACAATTATGCAGCTGAGATTTAAGTTGATCAGGAATTTAATATTGATTGCTAAAAAGCATGTATTCTAACAGTAAAAAAACAGACAGTGAAACACTATATTCAGGTTGAATGAATAGCTTTACCAGTATCAAGTTAAAAATTCCAAAGAATCAAACACTTAAGGGTAATTAATATATTGCCAGAGGATTATTTTAAAACTAATTGTTTTGGCTATGCTTCTGTTTGCCAACTGGATGCTGTCCTCCATAGATACGACCACCTCTGTACAAAGCACACTTGTAAACCTCTGAGGGCAAAGGGTCCAAAAACATGCAAAAGAGCAATGCTCAAAATGAAGGATTACGGTTTTATTCCCAATGACTTCCAGTGCTTCAATCTAACGCGGGTAGTAGATTTCTAGTATACAAGAGGCCTGTATGTTAAGTGTACAGAATTTTAGAATGAAAGGACCTTTAGTTGAACAAGAGATTTATCTGGAACTGTGGCATACATAGTGTTGTCTCTCACTAAAGTTTTCAGTTGTGTGAGGCATTACTAGTTTTCTCTAATTATCTTGGTGTTATATTAGCACTTTGGTTTGCTTTTCTTTACAACTAAACTTGATCCATTTTAGGTAAGCATTTAAAAATAAAAGTATTTAGAAGAATCTCTAGTGTACTGATATTATTTTGTACAACTTATCCAGTTCTAATTGTAATGAAAAGGGGAAATATTATTACTATTTTCTTGGTTCTGCAAATCACATGTAATTTACTTTCTCTTTTACTTGCTGCTTGCTTTGGAGAAATAAAAAAGGCTGTCCTTGAGCTACTGTCATGTAGTGCAGGATTTTTAAGATGGGAAAGATTTTGTGACTTTACAAGAATTCAGATGAATGCTCTGTGCCATTTTACCTCTACATATTCCAGGTTTTTTATTTCTTTGGCAGCTATATGGAAGCATTCAAGTATATTAATCATGATGATAAGCAAACATGTAATGTGATATGCCATCTCTTTAGCAGAGAATTTGGAAAAAACATGTCTTCAGGACAGTACTTCTTATTTCAGGAAGCTGCAAATTGCTGGAAGACGAGTGTTCACTTCAGAGGTTACTCATTGTTTTGAAGCTCTAGCTCGGGAGTGCTGCTGCTCAGGGGCTGAAGCTGAAGTGATATTAATCCACAATAAAATCAGGTGATAGGACTAACACCAAAAAATGCCTTATAGTGAAACGCAGAATAAAAATCAAAACTCCACAATTCCAATATAAATTTGTAGGGATGGTATGTTTATTGTAGCGCTGGACGCACACTGGGATTTCTCACACAGCAGGGATTTTCTTTCAAAGCGCATGTGTATCTCTGAGAACTCCCAATCCTTTTTTATTACTTTTACTAATTTCTGTATGCATAGAATTTCACAATAGGTCTATGCATATTCATTCTGCTGATTTCATGTTACACTTACAGCTAGTTACACTTGTACTTAGTTTTTGTCAGAAAGTACAGAAAGAAGTCTTGGGTTACTCTGCCCTGTCTGTTTCAAGGTCTGAAGAGTCTTTCTTACCTCTTTTTAGTGTGGAAATTTGCATTTTTTCCTTAGCTGGGACAGCTTTGTTAGTGCTAGAGTTACTAGACTAAACACCATATTTCACTTATGTTAGTAAGCTTAATGTGGCGCATTTTACTTAAATCTAAATGGATTTCTACCCTGTTAAATTTTGACTCTGTCTCATTAGGGTCAATATGGAGTTACAAGCTCATCCCTACAGTGGAAGTCACTGTACACCAAAATGAAGAATTGTCATGTCCAACAAAGGATTTGCTTGTATGGCCTAGGTATGACTTGGCCAGGGTCAGGTCTGCTTTTTGAACATTTTTTCCTTGCTTGCTCTTTTGCTATAACACAACAGCTTACCTCTGTTTCACATTTGAAAGCTTGGAAGGCATAACTATTCCAGGAAGGCAGGGATAGGTTTGGAGCTTCTCCTGTTTTGGTAATCTACCTGAAAATTACTACAGAAGACAATAGGATGCAGCAGCCCCATTGCAGTCAAAAATGGAGAAGATCATGCAAAAGTAGCAATTCCTGGTTTGCAGGAGCAAACACTTAAGATTGTTACAAAGTTGCAGAGTTGGTAAAATAGAGTCCTCAGTGTCTGGTGCTATTGCTAGTGACTATTGGAGTGTCTGCTGTGCAGATTCTCCAGCACTTGGAGAACAAAAACAAAGGTACAAATTCCAACTAGGAATCACTCACTCAATAGTTCAATGACTAATTTTCATCTACTCTTGATCTCTATAAAGATCCTTTTAGCTTGGAGGATGTGGTGAGAAAAAAACCCCAGCATTTCTCTACTTACAAACTGAGCAACTCTGATGCAATTAAACAAAAATACAGAAATTCAAAATTTTTCCAAGTGACTTTGTTAAATGCAGAATTGCAGCAGCTTAGCTGTGCACATCAGACATGAGGCTCTATTGCAATGACTTTTATTCAGTCCCCACTTAGTCAGAACACAGTAATAAAAATTATTTATGATCAAAATCTGTAATAATATGAACTAAGATACACCGTTCTTTAGTAATAGAATTGATTAAAATCAGCTTCACGCATAAAATCCAATAAACTTTATACAAACCACTTTAAATCAGCAGTTGTCATTCAAATCACATAAAAGCAGCAGACTACAGATACTTTGTGTGACAGTACTTTTATCCTGGACGTCCCTCATAGTCCGAGTGCAGCACTAGTTATTCCCTCTCCTAGAGCTGTTATCTGCTACACAGATATTTTTCGAGTATCCTAAGAAAATCTCTCGTACTTCAAACAAGCTTCACAACTGGGAAGTATTTGTGAGGAGAGAAGTCAAATTCTGGAGGAACCTATGAAGAAAAGATTTAAGATCAGATATTAGACAGCAGTACTACTGCATTTAATACTCATTATGAAAACAACCTGCACACAGAAAAAAGAACTAAACCGCAACAGATTGAAAAAACATAGTCATTGTGGCAGCCAGCACTCTCATGACTTTGTTCACACAAGCTGCTGTTACACTTGCTTGTTCTTGCTATTGAAGAATACCCTTATAGTCTATATTGTCCAACATGTATTTCCCAATTTTTTTTCTCAAAACATTTATTTATAGGTTAGAATTTTCTATATTTAGTTAACTACAACAAACTATTTCCAGGGGAAAAATAAATTGAGTTACTTGCCCTGTTCTTAGAGTAACTACAGCTTGAATATGCTCATTTGGCTCTTAAGAAATCTGTGGTGGCTTTACATAGATTTAGATGAACCATTCATGTTGGGAAATCTCCAAATCATTGAATACAACCTTAATTTATGTATTACTGCATTTTATGTTCAATTGAGCTGGCATTTCCTTACCTTAGAGTCTTTCTTGTGGCCTCCTGCCAGCAGCTTCATGACCACAATATTGGGTTTTGCAACTTTTAGAATTCGATTGACCTAAACATAAAACAGAAGTCTTCAAGTCAAAGCATTTGACCTCACAGTTATTTAAAAGATAATACTGTCATGTTGATATACTATTAGCAATACAGCAGTTCTCTTACAGGATCAGTGTAACAGACATCAGACTGTTCTGGATTTGGTTTTAAATACAACAGCTGAATTGATTAAATTTAATGAAGGATGCATTTATTTTAATAGTTTTTTTTTAAAAATTCAACAGGCCACAGAAACCACAGCTTTAATAATTCTTGAACAAAAACATGGGAACTATGGCAAATTCTGTGGCACTCACACAAATAAGGGTATAGATAAACTCTAGGCATCTAATCTTCAACATTACAACACAATGGTAAGAGGAACTCATGTATGAAACTGGTGGCTTTTTGTATGGAAGTTTCTGAATGTGCTCAAAACTACCTCTTAACTATCTTGGCCTCAAATAGATAGCTCATACGTAGTACCACCATGATCTAGAGAGGAGAAAGTGAGTCCTAAATTCTCAGGAGGACTAATCCCGAAACTATTCTTAATCTGCTTAAATGTGAGGAAAAAAAAGCATCCTCCTTGCTCCAAAATACAGTCACAGACACTTAAGGATTTAGACTGTGGACAAAGAGGGAAGAATTCCCACCCATGTTTTCAGCTCAGTGCTGAGAACTGCTCCAGAGAACAAGTGCCAAACTGAATCCGCTTCATCCTAATGATATTCAAACCTACTTTCTCCACCTCTCAGGAGTCCATCTGAATTACTAGATACCAACTAAGTGTGACAGGCATGTTATCACTGTCTGGTTAAAAGTGCTGTGCCTTTAGAAAGGGGCTAGAAGGCAACGTGCAAGGAAATAAGCTGCTATCCAGCATCTCGGGTCCTCAGCAGAGAGGGCTTTTTTTAACAGTGAGCACAACTTTATGCTAGCTGATGTACTGAAACAGACCACTGTGCAAGATGCCACCACTCTCCACTGTCTCCTCTTTAATCAAAGCACTCTGCTCAGCATTTTGATGAAGTACATTTTGGATCTCAAGGAGATCCAGCTAAAAAAAGACCACTATTTTGAGCAAACACTCATTTTCCTATTATTTCAGTCTTACCTCATTGTCTGGATTCGGAATATTCTCAAGAATCATTTTAGCTTGCTGGTAGTGCTTGCTAGCTGCCATGTAGAGATCTGATGACTGAGGAGGTGGGCTATACTTATTTAAATCAGACATTTCCTAGTGTGTTCAGAATAATACATATTAAAATACATACAATTGAAATTAAAAATTGCCAGGACATGTTTTTTATCACATTGCTGTATTCAAGAGTTATGTCAGCTAAATACCGCTTTCAAAATTCAAACTGAAGTTGAAAATATTTACTTAAAATGGCAAATCCCAAGCAACAGCACAGTGCTCAACTATTACAGTGTCACACAACATAATTAAATTCTCAGAATTTTTATAAAACAGTCTGTCTCTTGAACAAATTGCCACTCATTTGCTTTAATAGTGATATGCAACAAGGTATGAAATTACAGGAAAAAGATAGAAAAAAAAAGTATATTGTTTACACAAAGCTACAGCAAGTCAGATGCTGAAACTGTACAAAACTTCATTTTATATCATTTTGCTTCTTGAAATTTTTTTTGTTCTTGATTATGAATTTTAAAAAATTGTTCATGACAAGACCGTGATAATTTCTTAATTTCCACTACAGTGGAAATAACATTCAATAGTTCATAAAATTCAACTGGGGAGAGTAACTGGAATAGAAAATAGCACTGTTTCAGTTCAGACTAACCCCACAGGAAGACTAATAGTTGGGTGAGCAGCCAGGGGTACTGCAAACACCTAGCTGAATATGAGCCAACAAACATGCTCATACTATTAATTAGACAAGCCTTATAAGGGATTACACAAGCAGGAGTATGGTCAGCATATCAAGAAGATTATCATCCTGAACTCAGTATTTGTGTTCTGTTATCTAAAATACTGCATACAGGGCTGGATCCACTCAGTTCTAGAAAGATGTTGAGATATGGAGATGGCTGGGGGCCTAGTGAATATAAGCCACAAGGAGAGGTCAGTGGAGCTGGACTTTTTCAGTTTTATGGGAAGAATGCTAATGGGTAATTTTAATAGCAGCCTACAAGTACTTGAAAGACAGTTACAAAGCTGTCAGAGGATAAAGCATCCTTGT